TCTGTCTGCCTCTATTCAGGCTTCAGTCCAGGTTAATCACTGCGTTCTGAACGGCGACGCTAACGGACAATTCAACGAGCTGATAAAAGCGATTTCTGGGAAATGCAAAGTTCACTCATGAAACTCTAGATGGAGACATAGATGGATATAGACCGAACGTCCCATCCTCAAATGTTGTGGGCGGGGCGTAGTCCGGCTGGCATCCAGGCTACGTACGAACGATATCATAGAAGAATAAATCCCGATTCACCAAGAAAATTTGTAATAAAATATATATTCTTAGAGCCCGTTCTCATCCCAAAGCGCCATATAGGACGCTTTTGCAAAAGCGTAAATATCCAACGCACATGGCACCCTTTAACGTCTAATGAGACGCTTCGGTTATGGTTAAGTTTAGGTATGGTGTAGGGTAAGGGTTAGACCACTAGGGGGCGCCTTCTGCCCAAATATATCTGCGTCTCATTTGACGTTAAAGGGTGCCATGTGCGTTGGATATTTACGCTTTTGCAAAAGCGTCCTATATGGCGCTTTGGGATGAGAACGGGCTCTAAGAATATATATTTTATTACAAATTTTCTTTTTGATTCTTAATGTACGGAAGAATATACAGACAACTGGAACCACACATGCGCAAATACACTTACTCTGTACGGCCTTATGGTTCATCCTAATACGACTAACATTATATTGAACCATATTGCATTAATTCATAAAATTATTATAAAATTAAACTATTTAATTTCACCTTGAATTCATTTCAGTAAGAAAAGCTGCGTTCCATAGATTCAGCTGATTTACCTTTTCGTGAGAAGTTGCGTACAAATAATAATTAATCCACGCAAGACTATAAGCAGAAACAAAGCAACTTCGGCAAGCTTTTCCAATATTAAAAATAATATCCAATATTAATATTAATGATATATCAGTCATCTCTCTAATTAAAGGAAACAACAGATCTCGTACAGCGGAAATATTCTTGATATTCTGAAATTGAATAATAACTACTGCTTTTTTAACCCCTTTAACTAATTATTAGCATTGATTTTATTTCATAGAAAGTTTGCCTTTTATTCTTTAATAATACAATGAAATTAATAGGTTTTTTTTTTGCATTTCTGAATATGGTGATATATATTTTAACATTTAGAGGGCTAGTTTTTAATACGGTAAAATGCTGTATCTTAGCATATATTTATTCAGTTATTTTTTTCGTTAATATTTATTCATTATTTATCTATTTAAAATGTTAATTTGTCCATATTTCAGTATATGTGTCCTTTATTTTATTTGTCTTTAGTCCTGCTTTTATTTGCCCATGATATTTAATAGACCTTCAGCCAATTATAAGCAGATTTCGTAGCATCTTACTATAATACTCCTCGCCCTGCCCTGTCTCAAACGCCTTTAATCCCTCAAGGAAATCTGCGATGGACGGGGACGTGCCATAAGACAGATACGCGCTGTCTGTGTCGTTTCAGGCTGTGGGGTCGCATCATACTTGTGTTTTCATCATATATGCATGGGTTAAAGGACGCTTAACATTAGCTTTTAGTTGTAGATGCAGTGGAGTCTTTCCACACATGCCTAGAGGTTAAAGATGTGTCCACACATCTTGAAAAGCATTGGAGAAATGCAACAGGCTGGAAAAACACACAGCCAAGCAAAGTCAATGCAGTATTGAAGCTCCAAACGCTGTTTGTGGTTTAAACCAGGTCAAGAAAGGGGTAAGTTAAGTTTGACTATTTGTCAGCATATCATGTTTTGAGCTTTGTTTGTCGTACTGTTTGTGGAAATGCATTTACCTCTTTATATTATCTCTTAGTGTTGGAGGTAATGCATTACAAGTAACATGAGATATGCAATCAGTAACTAAAGCACGGCATTATCGTTGCATTTACATCAAAATATCTGAGTTACTGAAAGATGCAAATTTCGACAGCTACAAAAAGGCATTATCGGTCAAAAATACAAGCTGCAAATATTTGCATAAAATGAAAATGTGACCTGTTGTGAAGCATCAAACACAACAAAACAGTGTCATAAAGTGTTGAAAAGGTCTTAAGTAGCAGAATACAACAAGCATAATTGTTTCAGGGAGAGACCAAACTATGCATTTTACTTTAGTAAAACTAATCGCCCCTCTGGGACAAATAAAGGTGAATTGAGTACCAAGTACATGTAAATAATATACACATGCAGTTTATGGGCCACGTTTTGGTTTGTAGCTTCATCAAACATTAGTAAACTATTATAGTGGTAAACTATAGTAAACCATACATTTATTTAGAGCAGGTGTTCTCGATTAGCCCAAACACAATGAGCCTTTCTCACTGTTTACACGAGAACGCTCGCGGGTGAAAACGTAAAAATATTTTATCGGATGTGCCTTTCGTTTACACGGCGACGGCGTTTTTGAGGCTTAAAAACGCAAAAAGTGAAAATCTTAAAAACGCTCCACCGCCGCGTTCCCGTGTAAACGGTAAAAACGCAAAAGTCTGCTCGACAGTGAAGGTTGTACACAGGCGCGTGGACTTGGTGTTGTTGTATTATGCACTCCTAGCCGTCTCAAGTGCATACTACATTGAATTTTACACACTTTTGCGTCACCATTTGCACGCGGATTTCCCCACACAAAACGCTCGTCTAAACGCAGATAAAAAGTGATGACGCAACGCCACTTTTGCGTTTTTTCTTCAGAATCGTTCACGTGTAAACATAGCCTCAATTTGTGTTCTTGTCTGTACTTCTTCTAAACGTCATCTTTTGTGGACCGTCCCAATACACAACTTTGCATTTTGGCAAGAACGGTTAAAAATCCTGGATGTGTTCTTGACGCCCATTTTACAGAGGATGCATCGGTTTGTAACTTGTGTGAACTTGACGGCAGAAATATCCCAGCATTCAATTCGGCATTACGGCGGTCTATACGGTCATTCGTAATTTCTACAATTACGTATGCTATTTCATTTTTAAATTTACTTCTGAGAACATTTGATGTGAGAAATCAACTGTGTAGATTTCAAATATTGACATTTTTACGAAAATCGAAAATCGAAAATGTGCTCAAACGTTTTCGGGAGTGAGAATCTCCATAAGCGCCTGCGGGTGTTAAAGGGATACTTCAGGATTTAGCATTAAGCTTTGTGTTAAAGTGTTAAAGCTTTAAGCATTTCCCTGAGACGAGAGATTTATGTATTTTTTGTCCGGAAAAAATCCTCCGATTACGAAAAAATTCTCATTTTTACACTCACGCGTATTTCGATATTGCTTATCGATTCCTGTGTGCGCTTTTTAATGTGATAAAATTACTTTAGCAGGAATTTAGTTTGATACGACACAAGATTAGTCTTTCGATTTTTTTTCGACTTGACGTTACGGTCAGTTTTGCTGATGGTTAAATTTTTTTAAAGTGTTTTTTTCTTTCGTTTCTTTCAGCTTAAGGATGTTCTTGCAATGCAGCTTTTTTCTATCTCCTTAATAATTTCAGCATCGGTCATTTGCATTTGTATAGTGACTAGCACCCAAAAGATCCAACTTTAGATGATTTTATTTAATTGATCTGGTAGACTCATTCTCATTGTCACCTCAATTTGATCTGATTAGATAAACCAATTGAATAATGATGCAATAATGAACTTTAAAACACTCCAAATAAGTGTTGGTCCTGCATATCGGTCATTATTCTGCATGGTAGTGAACTGATGTGATGAACTGGCCTCTCAGACAGACAACAGATTGAGAGGAATGTGTAGCCACTCATCTCCCTTTGTGACAGATTGAATGGCTAAGCTCCCATTTATCGCATGCAGTCGCTGCTCTGTTGTTCGGTGGGCATATGGTGACCCCGTCCTTCCGGAAACATGGCTTTACCCCGGTTATACCCTGAGCCGACTGTAAATGAGTTCGGAGCGAAGCATTCGGGTTTTATGTTATCAATACAGTAGGAGTGATGATAGTACACATTCATTATAATGTGTAATACAGCAAAATAATAAATAGTCTCTATGGCAAGAGACAGGGCTGTGTGATGACCTTAGTATCATTTATATACTATATTATAGATTTTATTAATATTTTGAATTAGATTTGATTTTTATGTTTTCTGTTTTTATATAAAAAAATATTTTAGTTATCTTTGTATGTTTTTTTTTTTTGTTTGTTTTTTGTAGATCTATTACGTTTTAGTTTATTTAGGCTTAGTTATTTTAGTGCTGCAATTGTTAATATTTATTTTTTTTAATAATTATTTGTTTATTTATTTCCAAATTTTAAATGTTGCCTTGGCTAACTAAGCTGAAATAAAATAAGTTTAAGTTTTTTAATATTTTTATTTATTTTTATTTTTAATAGTTTTTTGATGGTTTTGGCTTTCGTTTTTGTTAATGATAGTAACCCTGTGACTAATACAGTAGGATGGATAATCAATCTGTCAAATCCTGTCTCTACTGTGTTTTGGTTTATGATTCGGATCATGAATTTTTTGTATAAATTGGCATAATTGTAATACTTTTCATACTTTCAAATTTGAGTCATGTTTAAAGTCATTTTACTCAACTTTAACATAATTTTTGGTTCAGGACAGTCTAAACATTTATTTATTATTTTTTATATATAATTTTTATTAATATATTTATTTTATTTTATAATAATTTTAACAAAAATTAATGTTTTTTTTTTTTTTTACAAGAGCAATTCATATGTTTTATGCTCCAGCTGATCAACAGTATATACAGGTGAAACACAAAAAAATAGAATATGGTGCAAAAGTTTTATTACCATTTAGCATTTATTTCAGTAATTCAACTTAAAAGGTGAAACATGCAAAGTGAGATATTTCAAGCCTTTATTTGTTATAATTGTAATGATTATGGATTATAGCTATGAAAACCTCAAAAAAAATTCACCTTTTAAGTTAAATTACTGAAATAAATGAACTTTTGCACGATATTCAAATTTTTCGTGCTTCATCTGTACTGTGTTTTCTCTACCTTGTTGCGCAGGAAGATTAAAATGGTGGATATTGTAACGCAAACAATGCCTGCAGAAAGTGAAGTACACGTGGCCAGGAACTTTCTCACGAAGATTTTGAGAAGTTCTATGAGGTATTGTGGAGCTGTTGGTCTTTGTCTCGTGACCCCCAGCCCTGTTCGATCCTGTAGTTATGATCATCTATCGACCCATCCACCCCTGCCAGACCCGAGTATCACATCCTCTGCCATGTGGCGTCTTAGCTGTAGCTGTGCTTGTTCACGTGCAAGACGGGGATTATACGCTTAAGCTTATTATCTGGCTGTCAATTTCACTGGCTTGTTCAGAACCTGTGAGTGTCAGTGCAGAATCTTCAGTGTTTCCTGCTGTCTTGTTGATCATTTGTCAAAAACATTTAAAAACAAATACTCTGCTTGTGTTTCTTTCTGATTGTATCCCCTCCTTTTCCACCTCACATGCATTTCAGGAAAAATCGCTTCAAAGGGTACGTCTTGTGCAGCTAAATGAGTTAACATGAAATTATATTCTGCAAAAGGAACAAATTATGTTATTCACAGTTCCTAAAGTAAATCTCTTAGATCATTCTTGATGGTCTGAATGATAACTGATGTTTTTTTAACATCTTAACACCTAACATTAGTAGTATGTTTTATTTCATGAAAATGTGAAAATTGTGACTTAAAGGAGTAGTTCACTTAAAAAAAAAAAGAATTGCTGATAATTTACTCGCCCCCATGTCATCCAAGATGTCCATGTCTTTCTTTCTTCAGTCGAAAAGAAATTAAGGTTTTGACAAAAACATTACAGGATTCTTCTTTACATAATGGACTTCAATGGGGTCCAAATGGTTCAAGGTCCAAATGAGAGTTTCAGAGCAGCTTCAAAGGGCTTTAAATGACACCAGGGTCTTATCAAGCGAAACGAGCGGTCATTTCAAAAATAAATTAAAAAAAGTGATTTTTTTATTTATTCGTGACTCTCCTGTTCGAACTCGTTCATCAAAATGAACGAATCTTTTTAAAAACGAGTTCGAACAGGAGAGTCAGCTTCAAAGGGCTTTAAACGACACCAGACAATGAATAAGGGTCTTATCTAGTGAAACAATCGCTCATTTCAAAATTCGGTTCATCACAAAATGAACAAATCTTTTTTCGAAAAAAATTTCGTTCATTTTGATGAACGAGTTCGAACAGGAGAGTCACGAACGCGCATCACAGAACTGCGCAAGGCAAGCATTTGTGATAATAAAAAGTAAACGCTTTTACTTATTTTTGAAATGAGCGATCGTTTCGCTAGATAAGACCCTTATTCATCGTCTGTTGTCATTTAAAGCCCTTTGAAGCTGCACTGAAACTCTCATTTGGACCTTGAACCGTTTGGACCCCATTAAAGTCCATTATATGGAGAAAAATCCTGGAATGTTTTCATCAAAAACCTTCATTTCTTTTCGACTGAAGAAAGAAAGACATGGACTTCTTGGATGACATGGGGGTGAGTAAATTATCAGCAAAAGTTTTTTTAAAAGTGAACTACTCCTTTAATATATGTATATTTACATAATATGCATTATTTCATTCTTTATTTATTTAGTTTTAGTCCTTAGTTCTAACCCGTTGTAGGCTATAATTATGTACAAAATCCTGTTTCAATTTCTAGAATAAGCCTGTTTAAACTAAAGTAGTCTTTCTGAAAATTTAACAATTTAAATTGAATTACATTTTTTTATTTCAGAAGGAATGAATCATCATGTAGACCCCATTCGTGGCACTCTGCTAAATCCACAGATAACCCCACCACAGACAGCCCTAAATCTGAACCCAGCCCTGCACCTGACTCCACTTGGCAGACAAAATATGATGCAGGGTGAGATTCTGAGGGTTTGAATGCAGTGAATATAAATTAATCTGAGTCAGCATCATTTATTTTCTTCGTATTTTACCAGCTCACCCACTAAAGAATTCACCAGCTGTTGGGGACAGACCAATCTGCGACAAGTGTCCTGCCAGGTCAGCTCAGTGGGAAATATGGAAAGTGTAGAGCCCTCATCTCACGCTTTCTCAAAAGAGCAGCCGTCAAGTAAACCCAATGGTGGAGAAGATCATCCAATGTTTTTATCAGGCACAACTGACCACGGTCCGCCTCGGGGTGTTGCTCCCACAGAAGGGATTTTTTACAGAGGCGTTCCCAACGATCCTGGAGTTGCCAATGACAGCCACAGATACCTACAGATCCCCATGGGCAACGGGGGACGCGTGAGTCCCAGTGTGGAGGAGCAAGCTAGCTCCAAATTCTCCTCCACTTGGAGATCCAACCATAGACCTGTGTGGCATATTCCTGAGAGCAAGATGACCTCTATTCAAGCTCCTCCACCTCCCTTGCGTAGTGATAGTTTCACTGCCACCAGAGTTCATGAAAAGAGCTTAGTGGGATCGTTCCCTGAAGGCATATCTGTATATCCACACTGCAGAGCTGTGGACCAACAGTTGGATAGTGAAGCGAGACACAGCTACAACCCACCTCCAAAGAAGGACTTCTTTCAGCCGTATCTTTCGGTTGAAGACTACCCAAATAAGCCAAAACCTTCCAAACCCTTTTCCCTTTCAAGCACTGATGTAAGACAAGGGCAGAACCCATTTACGTACGAGCTTCAGCATCCGAGACAGCATAGTGATGATAGTCACTTTTCTGTGCACCCTAACGGTACAAGTTCACCAAATACCCAGAGTGTTGGGAGCTACTACCGAAGCCTTCAAGATTTACCCACCAACGCTGGCAGTCGAAACAAAGCCAGAACCAGCATGGCATTCGACCCCAATTATGAGGGCCAGGCTCATTTCCGTTACTACTGCATCACTGCCCAGCAGCCATCCCTGAAATCATCAACGCAGGGTTGGATAGGAGATGAACGAAGGTCTGAAATGGGAACCAGTCAAGGTGCTACAGACAGAAGCTTGGTTGGTTCTCAAAAGGCTGTGAAGACAAAGTATCCCCAACTGAATGTACCCGAGAACAAGAGCTCCAACGGTTACACCAAACAGGCCATCAGTCCTCCATCTCAAGCCGCGTCCCCTTTACCAAATCATGTGATTTCAAAGTCCAGCTCTGGGGAAAGAGAGACTCAAAAGAAGAAAGAAGGAGTTAAACCACAGCCTTCCAGGCACGTACCACCTGGACAACACCTGGACAATCCATGGATCAGCAAGCAGGATCACAAGATCTGTCCACACAAGACCCCCATGTTGCACTCTCTGGCCCAAGAGAGCAAGATGGCAGAAAAAATGACCGTAACAGCCAAAGCAGGTGGTCAAGAATCAATTGATGCGATCGGTGGTAAACAGGGAAGAAGGAGTGACCGCTACGCCACAACTCTACGCAACGAGATCCAACAGAAGAGGGATCAACTTCAGAAAAGCAGAAGTGCAGCTACCTTGACTTGCTCAAGCGAAGTTGAGGATGACTCTGACATCTGGAAGTCTAATGAGACCTCCACGTCGTCTTCGGATGGTTCCTTCACCAACACTTACAAAGATCATCTGAAGGAAGCCCAAGCCAAAGTTCTGAAGGCCACGTCATTTATGAGGAGGGACCTGGAGCTCTCTGGGAACGAATCTGCATCGGATCAACTTCCCAAAAGATCTGGGCCTGTTAATGGGCAGGTCTCCCGCATTGGGGGGCGTAAACGGTTTCCCGTGGATAAAAAGATACATTCCTTCTCTGAACCGGACAAGATCAATAAAATAGGAGTTGAGGATAAAGCAGCTGGGTCGTTTGTAGACCGATATAAGTTCTTCGAGAGTTCCTGCAAACCGGTTCTCCAAAAGCCCATTCCCAATGAAGACCACATCGAGAGAAAGTCTAGATTGACTGGAGACTGTGAAAGCATCCATCAAGCTCCCTTAAAACAAAGTAAATCAAGCCATGCTGACCTTAATACAGAGGAGCAACAACGGCTCGGTACGTTTGCTGAATATGAGGCTACATGGAACATGCAGAAAAAGCCAGTGGAACGAAGAATAACGGGCAGATACCGTTCGGCTGAAAACATCCTGGACTCAGGCTTGGAGGAATCCAACAGCACAGTGTGTGTTCATGAAAGATCCCGTTCCTCACCTTCTGCTGACTTCTACGGACAGGTGAGAAGATGATTATTTGTTTGGTCATGATATTGATTATGTTTTTGGTGCCTAGACATTTAGGCTCAATCCCAATTCACCCCTTGGCCCTACCCCTTAGCCCTACCCCTCCGTTTTGCGCGTTCACGTCTAGGGGTAGGGTGTCCCGATTCTTCTTGAGATCGAGGGGTAGGGCGAAGGGGTAGGGCTACATAGCCCTCGAAACAGAGATTTTTCAGAGGCACACTCCAAATAACACAGTCTCATCCCAAAAAGTCATATAACTGACGTTTTGGGACGTATTTTGACCATACGTCAATATCCGCCTTTTTAGGGTCCCCTTAAACGTCGGTAGATGGCGATCCCGGGCCGTCATACAACTGACGCTTTACCTTTAACGTCAGTTAGGTGACGGGTTAGGTTTAGGGTTAGGTTTAGGTATGGGGTAGAGTTAGGATCCCATAACCTCATCTACCTACGTTTAAGGGGGCCTTAAAAAGGCGAATATTGACGTATTGGTCAAAAGACGTCCCAAAATGTCAGTTATATGACGTCTTGGGATGAGACCGGGTTGCTCCAAACGGAGGGCTAAGAGAAAAGTTCACGGAATGAATCGGAAATCACCGGCGAGATGGATCGCAAATGGTTAAACATTTAAATTTAGTGCCAGATGATTCCACCACACACTTTATTTTCTATTATAATAACACTATAGTCGTTTAAATTGACAAATGGTATAATAAATTACCTTTCCGATCAGAAAAGACATACATTTCGAGGAAGGGATGTTATAATTATCATGTTTATTCAAAGTTAAGAGCAGCTGCGCTGATTGTCAGTTGTTGCCATGGAGAAATCCTGTGCAAACTCTGTAACGACAGAGCCATCGCCGACGACTGATGACGTATCGGGTTCATGAAGGGTCGTTCCATTTCGTAGGTAACATTCCAACCCCTTGGCCCTTGTCACTCTGTTTTAAGGGCCAAGGGCTACACTCAAAAACAAGGGGTAGGGCCAAGGGGTGAATTGGTATTCAGCCTTAGAATTCAATATTCTCCACATTTCATTAGATACACAAGGCATTGTTTGGTAATAGTAAGGGCTGTTCGATTTTGAGACATAAGTGTTCATTGAATCGATTGTAAAATCGATTTCCCATGTCTAAAAGACGTTTCCATTTTCAACACCAAATATAGGCAAATCCACGGACACCTAACAGGCATTAGGACGAGCGTAAAGATCAGCCGCAGTCAGCAATATTTCTGATGATTTATTGGCGTGAAGTTTCGTGCACAATGAGAAACAGGAGCGCAACATTTAACACCCGCCAAATGCGGGTAAAAATGAACTTTGGCAATCTGGCGTGTTTCTATGTTTACTCACTTTGCTTGGAAACTTCGTGTAAGCCAAATCTGCGCGGATTTAGTGCAAATACGCAACTCGTGAGTCCTATTGCGCAGAATCTGTGCATTTCTGGCTTACTTGAACACACATGGACGTCACTAACACAAGCAACAAATAACGGCGCCCGTTTACTTGCATTGAAGTAATAGAGATTTGGTTAACAGAAAAGACATTGTTATTTTCCAACATCCAACATGTTCTGTGTACTGTATTGATCTGTCCATCTAAAACACATTTAAAAAAGGCTGTTAAAATTGATTCCCTGTTGATCTGATCGATTTTCGAACGTAAAGTGACAGCCCTAGTAATTGTTGTAATGAGTTTGCTGATGGCACAGTGGATGAAGTATGAGAACATTATCTTTAAGAAGGGCCGGTCTGTCCTTCAGGTAGAAGAATCTTTGGCATCTGTGTTAACGGATCCACATTCCTTTCAGAAAATCCCTCCGCCACCCAGAAAGTCTCCTGTGCAATCTCAGCCTGAAGCCAATGGCCAACAGGAGACCCATATCAGCAGGTTAGGATTTCTTGTCTTCTCTAGGTGTTCAGATACAAGTAAGGGCCTATAATTTCTTTAATCTGATTATATACATATTAGGGACGTAACTGTACACAGAAGTCACGGTTCGATAAGTTTGATGCATTTACATGCCTTCCCCCCTAATTCCTGATTGCTTCAAAATAAAAATGAAGGAATTGCAACTGCTGTTTTCAAACTTATTGGTTTTATTAACTTGGTGTGTGTAGCCTACAATGTCATTTTCTTTGCTTTTCATGCGCTGACAATGGCAGATGCACAGTACACTTTTTCAAGAAATCATGGAAAAATACAGATTACAGATAAGAGTAAGACGTCATTCAAAACTGTAAAGGGTCTTTTATTTGTGTACCCTCAAAAACATTTTGACTAGTTTCATCTGGTCTTTTTCCTATAAAGGCTATTAGCAAAAAGTGTTGCATTACCGCCTGCGCCCCCTTCTGGATTGGGGTGAATCACCTTGACTGAATGTATTCATTGTCTGTGTCCATAGATTTGCGATGTTCGGGGTGAATACATGTGACATTACACCCCTATTGTAATTTCTTTTTTACAGAGGATCTGGAAGGGAGCACAATCCACTTAACATCTCCGAGCCCATAACAATGAACGTTCTGGAAAGTGTTGCTGTGCCTCTTGCCTCGAACCAGAGACCCAAACCTGACACCAGGCAGCCAGCAACTCTCTCTTCAAATCATCTCCAGGTTCCCACGTCAAAGCAACGGCTCCCTAAAAACAAAGGTTCTGAACCGCAGAGGTCCGGCAAACCCACACAGCCGGATGCCACGGGCCCTACTAGACCTTCCCAGGAATTTAGGGTTCAGACCTCTTTACCTGAGCCAACTCAAGAGCCCCAAAGACTGATTACTTCACCATGTCCTCCACAACATCTGGAGAGAGACATGCACCTGACTGCTGCACCAGAGGAGGACCAGAGATCAGACAGCGAGGGAACGTTATCTCATACGCCACGTCTTTTAGGTCGTTCCTCTCCCAAGCAGAAAACTGATCTGACGGTAACCTCAGCCAGCAGAACACGTTCTCGTTCTCCTTCTCCTCAGTTCTATCCACAGAGGCTCTCAGATGAACCACCTGCAACTGTGCAGAAAAAGGACCAATGCAGGTAACAAGAGTTTTAGATACTGATAAGGTTCTGGACATAGTCAAGTCAAGTATATTTATATAGCGCAGATTGCATCAAAGCAGCTTCACAGTATCAATCAAAACATAATAACAATGTTCGTTTCTTAATGGAAAAACATCCATGTTTGGTAGAGCTGATCAATGGTATTACTGATTGGTTCATTAATTTGAGCAAGCCAAAGGCAACAGTTGCAAGGAACCGAAAAACTCCAAGTGACCCAATGGTGTCCTAAAACTTCATCAAGTGACCCAATGGTGTCCTAAAACTCCATCAGGTGACCTAATGGTGTCCTAAAACTCCATCAGGTGACCCGATGGTGTCCTAAAACTCCATCAGGTGACCCGATGGTGTCCTAAAACTCCATCAGGTGACCTAATGGTGTCCTAAAACTCCATCAGGTGACCCGATGGTGTCCTAAAACTCCATCAGGTGACCCAATGGTGTCCTTAAACTCCATCAGGTGACCTAATGGTGTCCTAAAACTCCATCAGGTGACCCAATGGTGTCCTTAAACTCCATCAGGTGACCTAATGGTGTCCTAAAACTCCATCAGGTGACCCAATGGTGTCCTAAAACTCTATCAGGTGACCTAATGGTGTCCTAAAACTCTATCAAGTGACCCAATGGTGTCCTAAAACTCCATCAGGTGACCCAATGGTGTCCTAAAACTCCATCAGGTGACCCAATGGTGTCTTAAAACTCCATCAGGTGACCCAATGGTGTCCTAAAACTCCACCAGGTGACCCAGTGGTGTCCTAAAACTCCATCAAGTGACCCAATGGTGTCCTAAAAGTCCATCAGGTGACCTAATGGTGTCCTAAAACTCCATCAGGTGACCTGATGGTGTCCTAAAACTCCATCAGGTGACCCAATGGTGTCCTAAAACTCCATCAGGTGACCCAATGGTGTCCTAAAACTCCATCAGGTGACCTAATGGTGTCCTAAAACTCCATCAGGTGACCCAATGGTGTCCTAAAACTCCATCAAGTGACCCAATGGTGTCCTAAAACTCCATCAGGTGACCCAATGGTGTCTTAAAACTCCATCAGGTGACCCAATGGTGTCCTAAAACTCCACCAGGTGACCCAGTGGTGTCCTAAAACTCCATCAGGTGACCCGATGGTGTCCTAAAACTCCATCAGGTGACCTAATGGTGTCCTAAAACTCCATCAGGTGACCCGATGGTGTCCTAAAACTCCATCAGGTGACCTAATGGTGTCCTAAAACTCCATCAAGTGACACAATGGTGTCCTAAAACTCCATCAGGTGACCCAATTGTGTCCTAAAACTCCATCAGGTGACCCAATGGTGTCCTAAAACTCCATCAGGTGACCCAGTGGTGTCCTAAAACTCCATCAGGTGACCCAATGTGTCCTAAAACTCCATCAGGTGACCCAATGTGTCCTAAAACTCCATCAGGTGACCCAATGGTGTCCTAAAACTCCATCAGGTGACCCAGTGGTGTCCTAAAACTCCATCAGGTTACCCAATGGTGTCCTAAAACTCCATCAGGTGACCCAGTGGTGTCCTAAAACTCCATCAGGTGACCCAATGGTGTCCTAAAACTCCATCAGGTGACCCAACGGTGTCCTAAAACTCCAGGTGAACCAATGGTGTCCTAAAACTCCATCAGGTGACCCAATGGTGTCTTAAAAGTCCATCAAGTGACCCAATGGTGTCCTAAAACTCCATCAGGTGACCCAATGGTGTCTTAAAAGTCCATCAAGTGACCCAATGGTGTCCTAAAACTCCATCAGGTGACCCAATGGTGTCTTAAAAGTCCATCAAGTGACCCAATGGTGTCCTAAAACTCCATCAAGTGACCCAATGGTGTCCTAAAACTCCATCAGGCGACTCAATGGTGTCCTAAAACTCCATCAGGCGACCCAATGGTGTCCTAAAACTCCATCAGGTGACCTAATGGTGTCCTAAAACTCCATCAGGCGACTCAATGGTGTCCTAAAACTCCATCAGGCGACCCAATGGTGTCCTAAAACTCCATCAAGTGACCCAATGGTGTTCTATATACCGGTAAAATACCTGTGTTTCAAACTGAGCTTCTGCATACTGGCTGTTTTCCATTTATGATATACAATCTAAGTAATATACATATACAATGGTTCTGACGCCCATGGTTCTGGATGATGAATCTGTCATCATTATTGGAAGTTTCACTGCTAAAATTCACGTTTTTAACTCATGGCGAACTTGTCCCCTATTGCAGGAGTAAGACGGAGGAAACATCAGAGCCAAACTCTGCTGGCCGGAAGGTCCCCATAAAGATTGTCTGTGCAGAAAACGGTTCAGAGAGGGAAAACAGAAACTATGTGCAATCATCTGCAAGCTCTGAGGTGCCTAAAACTGGCCAACTAAAAAAAACAGATTCTCCAGAGAAATCCAAGTCGCTGTTTAATGCCCACGCCCATCCAGATCCCATCAAAAACACAGAACATCAGACGGTACTGGACAACACAGAGCCGAGAAGCAACGGTTTGACCACGCGTTCAGAGGAGGACCTGAAGCGAGAGGAGCTGGCCAGAGACATCATGGGGAAGGACAAGAGTTTGGTGGACATCTTGGATCAGAGTAAGATGAAGACTACGATGGATCTGATGGAGGGAATATTCCCACAGGGGGAGCAACTCCTGGAGGGAGTGCAGCAGAGGAGGAAAGCCATCAACAAACAGACGTCTCCCAAAAACACACCGCAGAGGTACACCGTTTGAGATGGAGAGGCGGACGGCACAAAAACATGCTCACATTTCACCTGAAAATCAAAAGAGATCAAAAATCAAAGTTAAAACTATTTTAGTACAATTTAAGAATTGTTTGATTGGGACTTTTTCATGACAGTTAGGCAAATACAAATACTAAGGAGTAGTTCACTTTTAGAAAAACTTTTGCTGATAATTTACTCGCCCCCATGTCATCCAAGAAGTCTTTCTTTCTTCAGTCGAAAAGAAATGAAGGTTTTTGATAAACATTCCAGGATTTTCTCCATATAATGGACTTCAATGGGGTCCAAACGGTTCAAGGTCCAAATGAGAGTTTCAGTGCAGCTTCAAGGGGCTTTAAACGACACCAGACGATGAATAAGGGTCTTATCAAGTGAAACGCGCAGTTATTTAAAAAAATAAATAAAAACTTTTAAGCTTTATAAGCACAAATGCTCGCCTTACTCTGTTCTGTGATGCACGTTCGTGACTCTCCTGTTCGAACTCGTTTTTAAAAAGATTCGTTCATTTTGATGAACGAGTTCGAACAGGAGAGTCACGAATAAATAAAAAATTACTTTTTTTTTATTTATTTTTGAAATGACCGCTCGTTTCGCTTGATAAGACCCTGGTGTCGTTTAAAGCCCTTTGAAGCTGCACTGAAACTCTCATTTGGACCTTGAACCGTTTGGACCCCATTGAAGTCCATTATATGGAGAAAATCCTGGAATGTTTTCATCAAAAACCTTAATTTCTTTTCGACTGAAGAAAGAAAGACATGGACATCTTGGATCACATGGGGTTGAGTAAATTATCAGCAAAAGTGTTTTTAAAAGTGAACGACTCCTTTAAATGCAAAATCTTATCATTACTGTGATGCATCTAACACTTTTGAGTTTTCTTGTAATAATTCTGATTGATGACCCTAATCAGATCCTCATTGTATAAGTGATTCTCAATACAATACATTTCGTGCTGATTTAAATTATACATAAATGCTTCATGCTATGTAAATGAAATTATTTAGCATATTTGAATTATGGTAATGAGCATTTTATTTTTTGAGCATTATCAGTCTGAAAACCTGTACACTACTGCCCTCTACTGACACACACACAATATAACAAGTACAATCAACTTGACTTTAAATCTGTTGCATTTGAAATCTATGAAACTTTATTTAGCTGATGATTTTTCACAGATTTTTTCATTTGAGTGACCCATGGATGTTTGATTTCTGCAGAGTGGAGGACAGTTTGTCTTCGTTAGTGAGCAGTTCGTCATATTACAGCACATCTGCCCCTAAAGCAGAGCTGCTCATAAAGATGAAGGACATGCAGGAGCACATGGAGGAACAGGATTCAGAGGACGAACTTGATTGTGACCTGTCCAACAAGAAGGTAAAAGCTTTATATTCATTATTTTGTTGCATGGTTTTTACTCCCGTTGTGCTGTACTGGTAGCAACAAGACAAAAATACATTGTTGAGAGAAAAAAAACATAGATAAGTCACATTATGTGTGAAAAATGTGTTCAACACGTGTGTGTACAAGTTGCAGCATGTTTCAAAAAGCATCACCGTTGACAATTAGATGATCTGGCTGATGTGTTTGTAATTGCAGCAAGAGTTGATTGACAGCTTGAGTAAGAAGCTGCAGGTTCTGCGAGAGGCGCGTGAGAGTCTTCAGGAGGACGTTCAGGATAATAACGCTCTGGGAGAGGACGTGGAAGCCACCGTACAGACCATCTGCAAACCCAACGAGCTGGAGAAGTTTCGCATGTTCGTGGGAGACCTGGATAAAGTGGTCAGTCTCCTGCTGTCTCTGTCCGGTCGACTGGCTCGCGTGGAAAACGCCCTCGACAACCTGGAGGAGGGAACGTCAGCGGACGAGAAGGTAACAGCTAGATGCGTGTATACATTTACAATCAGTTTTTCTGTAGTTCTTTCAAAGAACGGGAGATTAAAGGGTTAGTTCACCCAAAAATTATACTCACCCTCATGTTGTTCCAACCCCGTAAGACCTTAAAGGAGCAATGTGTGACTTTTAGCGACATCTAGTGGTTCGGTTGCGAGTTTGCACCAGGTTTGCACTAAGGGCTCAGCCCACTGCTCACCCCTCCCTTTCGAAGAAGCTACGGTTGCTAAAACGGGACAAACATCTCGTCGGCTGAGACAGCAGAGAATAGCCAGAGTAAGCCAAGAGTGTGTAACATTGTCACTGTTTCTGTACCACAGTCCATTATAAACCACATCATGAATACTGTCTGTTTACAAAGCCATAGTCAGGTGAGGATCAAGGGTTTTAATATATAATTTAATAAAATAATAATCAGCTGATTGTCTCACAAACGTAACCAGCAGCACATTTCTCCCCACATACTGTAGCAAACCCATAATACAGCGAGGGAGCAGCTATATATTTTTTCTAACAGGGTAGTAATAGTTTAGCTGGCTAATATGAGCTGTTACTGTGGCTGAGCTGGGACGCGTCGGCATGAGTCCAAAGGTCGGAACTGCGCGCGCTGTTACAATCATGTCATCTCCGCATCCCATAGATACTATTTACTACACACAAAAGGCTTTTTTTCTCTGATTTTTAAAATTCTTCGCGATCGACTTTAGTGATAAAAGACTTTAGTAAAAGTCTCTATCGACGAGTTAGTGATTCCTGTAACGTACTGTTTTACGGTCAATGACATGAATACTAATCATCAGCTGTCTCACGAACGTAACAGCACATCTATCCCCAACATAACAAACCCATAACACAGCGAGGGAGAACTAAGTTACATGAAACAATCCCAACTACATATTTTACACCACTCACAAGGGAAAAGTCACTACTCACGGAGTGTATGGCTAGCTTCCAGCTTTCCGCTACTTCTCTTTCAAGGTAGTGATGAAACGCGTTCTGTAGCACTGTGTGTTCGCGCTCGGCTACGGTAGGAATATGACATCACAACATGGCGACCTTCATAGAAGGGGATTCCCTCGGTTATGGAGCTATTAATGTCTCATTCTAAGGTAATAAAAACATTACGGCTAATTAAGTAAGTTCTTTATACACCACTGAAAACATAGTTATGGATGTCATATTGCATTTCTGTTAATAGATACTCAACTTTGTTACACATTGCACCTTTAAGTTGTTTTTGATGAAATCTGAGAGCCGTCTCACTCCTCCATACTAGTCCATAGGCTTCTTGAGGGAATGAAACATGCCGGCCTCGAAAAGTTATTAAAATAGTCCAAGTGACTACAGTGGCTCAATCTTAAATTTATCAAACAACGAGAACACTTTTTGTGCGCAAAAATTACGACTATTTCACTTTTCGACATTTACTTCTCTGACTGCGAACCATGAAATCCATGGGGAGGAGTCGGATCCAGATCCAACTCCTCCCACCTTACGTACGCCTAAACCTAACCAACTCCGCCCCCTGATCCCTAAACCCAACCCTAATCCTTCCCATCTCCACCCCTTGGATCGTGATCCGACTCCTCCCTGTGGATCTCATGTTCTGCATTGAGGTGCTACTGGAGAGCCTCGAATCAGGTTACTAGTTTTTTTTTTTTTTAGTTTTTTTTTTAGGTTACTAGTTTAACAGCATGATCTGTTGTTGTACGTCACACGCATCACACACATGACCAGCGTCGGCCAATAGTGAGCCTACGTGTGACGTAGCTCTACGCTATCACACTACGTTAACTGACTACAGGCCCATGGAGAAGGAAGTGAATAGTTGAAATAAAGTTGTTATTTTTGTTTGTTTTTGCGCACAAAATGTGTTCTCGTAAAAATATATTATACTATGGAAGTCAAATAGGACCAGAAACGGTCTGGTTACTAATATTCTTCTAAATATCAGAAAATTAGCTGAATGGATTCGAAAACGGTTAAACTCAACTGTTTAAAGTCCCCGTGAACCGGAAGTTGCAAACGACTTTTCTCCAGTGTTGTGACGTGTTTTCGAGAGAAACGGAATAGAGTGCTGAATTGATGACGTCACTTTGTAGGACAACTCGGAAGCTAGCGGCGCATGGGTTCCCTCGGTCGAAAAGCAATGCATTTTCCCCGTAGACTTTTGGAAAATCTCAAAAAAATAAGATCTGTGCTCAACAAAGAGTTGTGACCCTTACACGTTTTGTCTAGCAAGATAATCTTTACAAGTTAATCCAAAATTGATACATTTTGAAGCCTATATAAAGATTTTAAAAAACACAATCAGACACAATAAAGTTTAAAAAACCACAAGCAGGTTATAACTGGTGTGTGCTATGTCATAGATCAAAACGTGAAAATATTTAGAGGCTCTGTTCACCACAGACCTTATTTCAGGCGATTTAGCAAAAACACATTCAAAAATTCCATAGGCTTTTAATAGAGCGAGGGAACCGTAGTGCTAAAATGCTAACTCACTTCCGTGTTTTGGCCTACAGAGTGACGTCGTAACTTCGGCACTCTATAGAGAGCCTAAGTCCCGCCCCTCCGCTTCCGGCTCACGGGACCTTATTTCGGAAAAAATATGAATGGTAGTCAATGGCGAGAGACAACTTATCTTTTTATTCCGTCTGAACTGTGCCCTCAATTACACATATGATGTTTGTCAATTTAAAAGATAATTCTGAAAGTCAAAAACGTCGCAGTTTGTCATAAAACAGAAGAGTAACATTTAGTTTTATGTGAAAATCGCTCTGTGAACTACATCTCCCGGGAAGCGAAACGAGATCCGCTGCTCGTGTGTGTGCGGTCTGGTACAAAACACTCAGGCATGACGGCGTAACGTTACGATTATAACGTAAGACTGTAGAAACAATGACAGACATTAGCCTCAGTAAAGTTAGCTTCAGTCATTGAGAGAAAATGTGCGCCTTTGGGGTTTGTAGTCTTTGTAATTACGTATTTTCACAGTCTTATACCTCAACGGTTTTACATCAAACTGCGACTTTCTTTACTTTAAAATGTATCTTTTAAATTGACAAACATCATATGTGTAATTCAGGGCACAATTCAAACCAGATCATAATATTTGTTGTCTCTCGCCATTGACTACCATTCAATATTTTTCCGAAATAAGGTCCCATGGTGGTCGACCGGAAGGGGAGGGACTTCGGCTCTCTATACTAAATGAGGCAAAATAGTGGGCGTGGCTTTTTTTTCCAACTAGCACCTTTGGATCTAGAAAAATGGGTGTTTCATTCTGAAATGGAGGATGACGCAAGTTTACACACGCTGTCAATCAATGCTCACTCGGCGCTCGCAAACACACAGCAGCTGTCAGTTGGAGGGACGTGGTTATTGATGTTAAGGAGACACCCAAACCGTAAAGCCTACGTCATCGGGCAAGGTCCTCCAATGCAGAGAGGAGGGGCATTTTAAAAATTTGATTTAAGATCACAAAGCCAAAAATTTTTTTTGTGTGGATTGACTTGCATGTATGAATTGTTGACCACAAAACGATCAATTTAGGCAAACAAAGTAAGTATGGTCAATTTTGATTTCATGGGGACTTTAACTCTGGAGGCGTTGTAAAATGGGCCGATTTCCAAAAAAAAGTGGAGTATCCCTTTAATTGGGGCATTTTAAAATTAGTTATACCAGAGTGAGAGAGAGAGAGAGAAAAAAAAGACATTTTAAGGCTGATTTGTAGAATAAAAACTCACGTGTTTTACTTTCAGCACACTTTGACCGAGAAACGCAAACTGCTGATTCGCCAGCACGAGGATGCCAAAGAGCTGAAGGAAAACTTGGACCGAAGAGAGCGTCTGGTTTATGAGATTCTGGCCAGTTACCTCAGCGAAGAGCGTATGCAAGACTACCGGCACTTCGTCAAAATGAAGTCTGCGCTCATTATTGAGCAGCGCAAACTGGAGGATAAGATCAAACTGGGTGAAGAGCAGCTCAAGTGTCTGAAGGACAGTCTGCCGCTGGACCAGAGACTTCTGTACTGAGCTGATCTGGGTTCAGCATGACCACACGACTCGATTTCATATCTGTGCGTGTGCATTGGATAGATTTATTTTGTTCAAGATCATTCTGATAGTCATAGAAATGCTTTGAACAGTTTTCTTTCTTTCATGGATATTTAAGTCCACTCACGTTTTCAGGGACGTGCTGTCTAAAGGTTTTTAAGGATCTCTTTTAGTCCGTATTAAGGTTTTTGTACCTATACGCTAATTAATTTTGCTACTGAAGGCTAATGGTGCTATTAACAAAGGTTTCTACCACATTAGATCTGCTTGTTCTAGTTTTCCACACCGATTTGACTCATTTCAGTGTAAATGTTTTAAACTTTCCTCTTTGTTTGTTTTTTTACTTAATGAAATAACGAAGGGAGCTTCAGAATATCTCGTATGTAAAATATTCTTTCAATCTCTTGATTTCTGGCCCATATCCCACTGTGAACCGGAAGAGTCTTTATTGCAGGTCATAGATGCGCTATCAGTGCTGAAATACATTTGGAATTAAAATAAAAATATTTATATACTGCAAATTTGCGGTTTAGTTCTTGGACGGGTCGTTCATCTGGTTTACATCACACTTGCCATTTGGAAATGATTCACAAACATTTTCACAGTAGTTTTTATTGAATTTACAGTATATTATTAATGAGTTGTTCAATGTTGTATAACTCATTCTGAAGCCTCACCCACACTTTATGATTTTATGAGTCGCTTTTTCCAATATGATGCATTCGAATTCCTCATTGGTTTGATTTTATGATTGGTGAGCCGTGGTCAATCATTCACAGAAACATATTCACGGGCTTGTTTACACTGGATTTCTGAGCTAAAGGAAGTGGAGTTTTACACCGTTTCCAGTCCAACGCTGAGCGTCGAAACGAGGAGATTCATGGATCACTGGAACATGTGGTAATACGATCAGTTTTTCATTTTCATTTATTTAAAAGTTTATTTAGATTTTATGTGTATTGATTGAAAGCATGTTTTAAAATATCCACAAACATCTTGACAGAACCATGTTTTAAAATCAGTGAAAAGTGACCGTAAATACATTTATAGCCTATTGTTAGAAAAGATTAATATTTCAAATAAGTGATGTTCTTTTTAATTTTCTAATCATCTGTGAATCTTGACTAAATGTATCATGGTTTAGGCAAAAAAAAAAAAAAAATGAGCAACTGTTTTCCACATAATCATAAATGTTTCTTGACCATCAAATCATCAACACTCTCAGAAAAAAAAGGTACAAAAGCTGTCACTGGGGCGGTACCTTTTCAAAAGGTACACTTTTTTACCTAAAGGGTGCATATTGGTACCTTCATGGTACATACCATGGTATTTCATGCTATTTGTACCATTAAGGTACCAATATGCACCCTTTAGGTAAAAAAATTGTACCTTTTGAAAACATATTTGTACCATTAAGGTACCAATATGCACCCTTTAGGTACAAAAGTGTACCTTTTGAAAAGGTACCGCCCCAGTGACAGCTTTTGTACCTTTTTTTCTGAGAGTGAAGGATTATGTGACTCAGAAGACTGGAGTAATGATGCTGATAAGTGATAATACCGCTTTGATCACAGGAATAAATTACAAAACAGCCATTTTTTAAATTGTAATAATATTTAACGTTTTTTACTGAGTTTTTTTATCAAATAAATGCAGCCTTGGCTTGGAGACCAGAAGAGACTTCTGACGTCTGACCTGTAGTGTAAATAATTCATTTGATGAACACCAGGGTTATCTTCGTGAAATACTACTAGCTATTTTGTTTTGACTCATGAGTAATAATTAATAAACCTATTATTTATGTATGTGTATATAGGCCTATATACTGTATATAGGCTATGTGTGTGTATATACAGTATGTACACATGCATAACACACGCATATATAAATATGTGTGATCTCTGATCTCTGTCTGTCTCTTTGTCTCAGAGGGAAGTGAGGTTTGTTTGCCAGGTTACTTGGAGACATTGGTTAGTTAAACCCACAACACTCCTGGAGTCGCTGTGAACTCCATTAAGACCCATTCAACGCTTTCAGAGAAGACGAGGCTCTTCAGGATGGATGTTTGTCACATTAAGGAGACTGAATCTGAAGTCTAAAGCATGCCTTATCTCGTCCACACGGCGCATGCGCAGTTCGTGGCTCTCTGGCTCGGGACGGTCGGCTGGATTCTCATTATCGTGACCCTCGGGCTGGTGGAGTGGCGGGTTTGGGAAGTATCTGACCAGTCAGTCATCACTTCAGGTCTGGCATGGGTGGGTATTTGGAGAGTTTGTTTTTATAGTCACGTTCTGGTCTTATCCGACAATCAGATCATGTTCTGTCAGAGGATTGGTTTGTTGGAGTCGTTCACGCCACCTGAAATCGCATCAGCTCAGGTGCTCCTGATAGTGGCTCTGATTCTTGGGCTCATTGGAAACGCTAGCGTCGTTTACGGCCTCAGGAATATTTACTTCGGACTGAACACGTTTAAAGCCATCAGACTGGCGTTTTACACCGGCGGGTTTCTGTTCATCCTGACCGGAGCGGCCGCGCTCGTGCCCGTGTGCTGGAATCTCCACTCGGTCATTAACAATCAGACTATAATATTCCCAGCAGAGTTCCTCATGCCTCCCGCTCCGGCGAAGCAGCACATCGGACCCGGTATCATCGTGGGGATTTTTGCATCCACCCTGTTGGTCTGTAGCGGGGTGGTCTTTCTGTCCTATAGGTTCCCAGTTGTGCTGGAGGCCAAAGTGAGGCCCTCGTGGCCCGGAGAAGGATACTCGGGGACCCGTGTGAACCGCCAGGGAATTGACAATCTAGCTTTCCAAACGCAGAACAACAGTTAACTCTTCCTTTTGAACCCCAAATCTTTTTTATGTTAAAAATTGAGTGTTTCATCAGGACTATTGTCGCACTAGAACCACGAATACACACACACACACACATTATGCATAGACTAAAAATGCAAGAAAATGCACCCAAAAATTAGTTAATAATGTTACATGCAAAGTGAGATATTTCAAGCCTTTATTTATGGCTTACAGCTTATGAAAACCCCAAATTCAAAATTTGAATAGTGTGAAAAGGTTTTCATAAGCTGTGAGCCATAATCTTCAAAATTATAACAAATAAAGGCTTGAAATATCTCATGTTGCATGTAATGAGTTTATATAATATATTAGTTTCACCTTTTAAGTTGAATTACTGAAATAAATGAACTTTTGCACAATATTGTAATTTTTCCAGTTTCGAGTTGCTAACGGCAAGCTCTACTGGTGGAGCTACAGGAATATTTTTTGAAATTACATTTAAGTACTTTTCCCAGTTTGAGAGATCTCACTCATTTATTTGTATGCACACAATTGTTTGTTTTTTAACGTATATGAAATATAATTTTGAATGACAAGTTGCTGTCTTATTTAGCAGATGAAGTTACATCCTTCTAAACAATTCTGTGTACAGGATTTTGGTTCAATAATTAAAACCTGCAGTCTTAAATTAATTTAAATAGAAGAAATTGACAGATTTCATCTGGCTGTTATGAAATATGAAACAGTGGAAACTAATTGTATATTGAAAACAGCAAAGGGCCCAAAACAGACCCTTGTGGCACTCCATAATTTACTGGTTAACTTGGATAATTCCCTAGTCAATCTAAGAGTATTTTATGATCGAACGCATTACTGAGATTAAGTAAAACTAGTGTTGAGATGCAGTCAGATGTAAGTATTTTTTTTAATTTAGCGAGTGCAGTTTCTGCTATGATGAGGCCTGAATCGGGACTGAATTTAGATGTTATTTTTCCGGAAGGAATTGAGTGGAGACAACTTTCAAGTATTTAAATGGAAGATTTGAAATATGTCTGTAATTTGCCAACTGATTTGGATATAGTGTTTTCTTAAGGAGGCTTACTATTGAGCAATAATATTAATTTATAAAATAGAGGCTCTTCTCAGCATGCTCTGAGTAGTTTAATGGGTATTGGATCTAATAAACATGTTGTTGCATGGTTTTGTAAAGCTGCCATTTCTTTTGTGGATATGCGAGGCTGAATCATAAAACATTGTCAAATTTATAATTGTATTTCTGATGCTTTTGATTTTCTCACGAAGTCATTATCTGATTATAATCCCAAAGTCATGAGCACAATTGCATTAAACTCCAGTTCGACTGTAAGTTCATTACTGTAAAAAGAAGATAAAAGCATGGACAGGGACGTATGAGACAGGCTGTAATCCTGATGATCAAGACAGTGAAGGAATTAAGGGGATTAATTCTTTTATCTTTCTTTGCTTGATCGTGCAGGAACATTGTGATCATCGAAGGGATTTTTGTAACAGTAATTGTTGGGTAAGAAGCTTCACGTAGACATAAGCTCGTCCACACTGAGAGAACAAATTTTATTTCATGTATCTTTAGGCTATTGTAAAATGCTATACCTTTATTATTGTTGTTACGACTGGAGTTCTGGTGCCGGTCCTGGACGCGCGTCATCGAGGGGCGGAGGCGCTGGCGTCGCTCCACGGCTGGTGTGGATCTCACAGATCGGCCTCTCGACCTCTCTCATGTGAACTCGCGCGGAGGATGGCAGTGGCAGGGCACGTGAAGCGCTCTCCAGAACATCACTACACTAATTGTTAGACTGGAAGTGCAGTCTGTGCCAAAGCAGTTCTTTCTGAGGTCCACATTGTGCCAAGACCGATGGCAGCAGAACAAAAGGCCTCTCTTACGCACGTCAGAACCAAAAACAAGCACAGTCAACCCAGATTTCTGTTCACAACTCCAATAATACAGTCATTTAGATTCCTGGAGCTCGAAGAAGGATGCACTGCACTGGCGATGACAAAGTCCAATGCAAGGACTGTACACCTCCTCACGCAACATTATTCAGCATGCTGTTAAATTAGCATCATTAAGACATGAAAATTCATCTTGCATGTTAAAATCTTATTGTGTACGTATTTAGGCTGTGCAATGATTAATTGCGATTAATCGCATCCAAAATACAAGTTTGTGTTTACAAAATGTGTGCTGTGTATAATTATTTTGTAGGCTATATATAAATGCATGCATGTAAGAATTATTTGCACGTAAATGTATATAAATAAATACATAATCTATATTATATATAAATATATAAACATTTTCGTTGTATATGCATATGTGTGTGTATTTATACAAAATAATTATACACAGCACATACATATATTATGTCAACACAAACTTTCATTTTGGATGCGATTAATCGCAATTAATCTTTGCACACCCCTAAAACACCCTGCAATCGTCTTTATGATATAATAAATTTGAATCCTTAAGTGTTAAATTGAAAGAAATAATTTTAGTGTACTTTTTATCCAGAAATATAGGTCCAACTAGTATGATTATGCTAAAGTGGAACTATTGCAAGAATACACTTGAAATATTTTGCATTTAAAGATTGATATTATACTAATACATTAATGTGATAATGTGTTTGTTTGTCAGTCGTAAAAGTGTTTTAAATACACAAATTTTAACTAGTATTGTTTGTTTTAGAGATATTTTCACCATGTTCATACAACATATATGCAATTCAAATAAATTTAGTCTTGAGCGTATGGTAATTGTTCAATCTCACTGGAGAGATCATGACTTGGAGGATGTGTTTCATCCACACGGCTCATTATCATAAAGGAAGTGGGCATGAATCCGTCCATGTGCTCCTGATAGTGAAGAAACCTTTGTATGTAAAAGATGGCAAGATTAGCATGCAACATTATAATGTGTCCATTGTGGAAAGACAACAATGAGAACTTTCATCTGACAGCAGAACCTCTGAGAAGATCCGATCCACGCAAACACAGCATTACAACGTTTCAGACTCGAGGCCGAAGAGATTTATTAGAAGTACATGATCAAACACACATTCCTCCCGCAGAACTGGGCTTGAACCCATCAGGACACACAGGTCAGAGATCACACACTCAAATGGATATCTTTTATATAATGATGTCTTGTGTAATGAAATTTTATCTCAGTGAAGAAAACATGTTGAACACCCTCGCCACTTTATTAACATTGTTCTTTCAAGTTATGCCGAACAAGATTAAAAGTAATGTCCCTTCTGAGATAGTTGATGAAATTATACTGCACATTTCATCATCATATACTCAAATCTAGATCTGTTTTATAAATGTCGCATTATATTTGATATATATATATATATATATATATATATATATATATTTTACATTTTTTTACATATTGATGGGGGATTTAAAAGTCTGAGAGGAACTTGGAAAATCCATTTTAAACTCGGAAATTATATATAAATTAAATACATATATAACATTTACATGAAAATGTTAAACTAAAATACTGCATTAATATTTTTTTGAAAAAAATAATATATATATACATATACACACACTCTAAAAAATGCTGGGTTGTTTCAACCCAAATTTGGGTCAAATATAAACAAACCCAAATGTTGGGTTAAAATGCAATTAAAAATGTAAAGGTGAAAGTTGAAGTTAAAATTTGAAATTGAATTTTTAACCCAACATTTGGGTTTGTCCATATTTTACCCAGCATTGTTTATGTAATTTAATGCGATTTTTTACTAAGTCTCATGACCTTTGTATATCTCACTGCATTTTAAAATAGTCTTTCTTTTATGATCCTCACAAGCAATATTGTCATAAACATATAAAGTTGATTTAAAAATGAAAACCTCTCCACACATCACATGACAAAAACATTGCGCTGATTTATTGACTGATCATCACAACTTTGACTCCATATAATCTCTCATTCACTCACTCTCAGTGCTTTAAAATATAAAAACAGACAAACTGACAATGCTTGCGGCTGGTTTTTCATGGCAATATTTGGATAATTAGCATAAAATTGTCTTGATATATATAAATGACCTCATAGTCATAAAAGTGCACTTTCTTGGAAAGTTTGCATATTTCATTTTCATGATTAGTAAACTGTTTCTCATTAGAATCACATTCACATGTGCAGATCTGGCTAAATAACATGATTTGCAACAGTACTGATGATTTATAATCAAAATTAAGGGTAACGCTTTACAACAAGGTTCCGTTTGTTAACATTAACTACATTTAACATGAATGGTTCATTTCAACATTTACTGATACATTATTAAAAAAGTTAATATTATATTTAATAGACACCTGAGCTGGCATGAACTAAAAATAGTTGTATTTTTCATAGGCTATAGCATTAACAAAGATTAATGCAAATTACTAGTTAAATAATATAGGACCATATTGTAAAGGGTTACCAATCTGATAAAAAATAAAAAAAATAATAAAAACGGAAATAGCAGCATTTATTTACAATCAACTCACATATCAATAGAGACCATTGAATAATTATCAGTGCAGCAAAACATTAGTTGAAGCAAAACTGTGCCATGTGTGTTTAACGGGCCATGTCTCACACATACTCTGTCGTCCGACGTGATGGAGATCGCTGTGGACGCGTAATGCGCGCTCTGTTTAGCGGTATAGACTGGTGTAACGGGCACGTTTCCTCTCGCAGATACAAGCAAGAGGTGACCAACAAGACACCAGCCAGCACATGCAAACAGCCAGCGGTCCATCCGAAGAAGAGCGCGTCTCCAAACTCCCAGCGAGGAACCACGCTCGGCACGCTCTCGTCGAAGAAGCGCAGGACCGTCAGGTGCGCCACGTACGACACGGGCACGAGCCCGAGCACTCCTGCAACGAAGCCAAAGATCCCACCGAGCATTTTCAGGGTCCGCTTGGCCTCGAAGTTCTCAGTGCGCCTGCAGCTGTTCACCAGGTAGATGCCCGGGATGGAGAAGGACAGGCCGATTACACCTGCAACCACCGTTGCGCACATCAGGATCCTGGCGAGGCGAATATCAGGAGGGAGACCCAGCAGACTGTCGTACGGCCTGCACTCGGTGACCCCGAGATCATGCACCACACATGTCCCCCACAAGCCCAGCTCGAAGCTCTCCGTGGGCAGGAGCTCCGTGGACAGCGTGAGCCAGCGGGGCATGGCGGTGGTGAGAAGCGAACACAAGCAGGCGGCCAGCGAGAAACACACACCCAGCAGCTCCAGAGCACACACTCCAGGGTCCATGACCACCTCTCCTCCTCCTCCTCTTCCTCTAGTCAGTGAGTGAGGAGTGACATGAGTGTTTGCTGAGGAGTCGCCGCGCGTCATCTCTCGCGTCAGGTGGGCAGACGCGCGCGCTCTCTCTCTCTCTCTCTCTCTCTCTCTCTCTCTCTCAACACACACTCTGGCACAGACATTCAGTGCGTCAAATAATGTTTTGCACCGATGTCAGTGACTTGAGTGGAGTGGGATTGGATAAAAGGCGTAAAGATAGAGCAAGTCTCAAATTTTAAATACCTATAGGGTACAATCATTGATAAACTTTCCTTCCAAGACAATGTGGATTGTATACATACGAAAACTAGACAGCGTTTAAGTCTACTTAGGAAGTTAAGAAATTCTGACATTGAAAGGAGGATCTTGTTTATAGATCAATGATTGAAATTGAAAGTGTTTTAACTTATAATAGCCTATTGTTTCATGGTATGGTAATCTTACAGTGAAACAGAAGAATAAACACGAGTAGCCTAATCAATGAAGCAAATAAGATCATCGGCCAAAAACAATATATATATCCTTATATATCAATATATCCTTATTTCGGGCCACAGGCTATACCGCTTGCTAAGAGGAATATTTATAAGAGGTCATTTGTTCCGTTGGCGGTGACTGTTTTAAGCTCGATTCTCAATTGAGGTGATTTTTATGTGTATTTTTTGAACATTGTAAAGGTCTCCAGGTCGAGTGCCCTTGAGAGTCACCAGGGGGCACTCCACACCAGATGTTCATGTTTCACTCACAACCACATTTCCCAGAACTCACTGCCCAGACTCATCAGCACTCATCTCATTCACCTGGTTCTCGTTGTCTTGTTCAGTTCACTCTATTATAAATAGCCTATCTTGTGTTCTCGTTCACTCACCGTGAAGTCTTGTTTTAGTGTTAGTTACAATTGGATTTATGCACAGCTGCACTACTTCCTGAACTTAAGCCAGCTCCTTGTTTCCTGTCTGCCATTATTGAACAAATTGATTTATTCAGAAGTGCCTGACCTCAGTAGTCACGGCAACAATAATCAGAGCCGAGGGCATTGCTGCCAGCTACAACATGGCACTACGTAACTCATCGGATGACCCTGTGTTTCTTTTGGGGGACTTTAACAACTGTGAACCATCTGCGTTTTTGCCGAATTTGGTACAGTATATAACTTGTCAGACGAGATGGAGCAAAACCCTGGTCAATGTTTTGGTAATGTGGCTGGTGCTTATGTACCAAGTTTCCACCCACCATTAGGTCGGACTCGTTCATAAATCTCTATATAAAGGCTAGATGTCTTAAGGCGGAGTTTCTATCGTCATCACCGGCGGCCATCTTGTCACAGCTGATGTAAGATGAGTGGTCAACACGAACACAAATACTTTTTTCTCGTTGAAATCTTGACGGATTTACAAACGGTTTGGTTTCTGACTAACGTTATTAACGTGGCTATAATTATCTGGATGTTTATTTATTTATACACTTATTATTCATAAGTATGCTGTCATAACTACATCTCTGACTATTATAACAAACCAAACCGTTTGAAAATCGGTAGAAAATTGAGCAAGTTATGGTTATTTTAATAGTACATGTACCATTGTACACAATGTTACGAGTGAGCGAGTTGCCTGTGACAAGATGGCCGCCAGGTGTAGACGTCGACCTCTATTGGCCAGCAGCGTGGACGAGATGTCTAGCCTTTATATCTATGGTTCAGATCATAATGTCATCCACCTCCTTCTAAATACAGACCGATGCTAAAAAGGACTGAACCTGTCATTCAGCAGGTCCAGTCATGGACTAAAGATTTAATTGAAAAACTCAACTGTTTATATTGTCTTACATTTTTCATCCAAAAGTTGTTTATTAAATGTAAAATATTTTGGTTTCTTTTTATGTATACGGTATTTTCCCAAATAAATTGATTTGCAAAATGAACTGTTATTCTTAATAACTTCCAAAATTTAATTTTGAAAATAAAAAAAGCGCTTCAAATACGCATATCGTACACACTCCAGTTTCCTGGCTTTCGGAATCTTTCTATTGTTTTCTCTTTTTTTTTCCTAAAAGGACCGTATGGATGTCACGGATGGATTTGATACTGAGATTTGAAACTTGATTTCTACTGTGCAACATATCAGAAAGCGTCCTTCCTTAGTTTTGAATGCAGTTTAATAGCGTAATCTGTTTTGTTTTGTGTCTCTGCGCTGTCATTGCGCTGCGCTGACGTTCACGCACGCGCAGTGTGCGCGTATAGACGCCGTGACGTCATCACTGTATGTCGCCGTCCTGTCCTGCTGCATCAGATTAATCTGATGTTTATGATGGATAAACACCTCAAAACATCACTGCATCTCTGATCTTAGTACTCGGACAGCGACATGGCGGAGGCAGATGGTGAGATTTGTGTTTGAATGATCAGAATCATCGTGCACCTGTTCTGTGTGACATTCGTGTCATCATTACGGGTGTGTTTTGATGCATGCTGGGTCTTTCAATCATGTTTGTTTATTCAAGGATGTGTGTTTTAACATGCTACTGTCACATCACCTGTGGAGTCTGAGGAATATTACTGTAAGGCCTCTGCGTGCACCCTTTCTGTTGTGTGTTTTTTCTTATATTGTGATGAATAAATTGTTCATGACAAACCAAATGTTATACAGCCAAACAGCTACTGTAATATATGACAACTAAACGATATTGCGAAAACTAGACATTGACAGTGGCATTCATTAATATATAACTATACTTTGTGATTATATGTTTATGTGTATGAATATTATTATATAGTATGTGTACACACACATACAGTATATATTTATCTGCATATGAATACATATATGTTTGTCTGTTTTTATATTAGTTTTTTATATAAATACAGACTTTTTATGGTATAATATACAGTAATGGTATTAATATATATATATATATTGATGTGTGTGTGTGTGTGTGTGTATTGCTACAGTATTTTATAAGAATATGCATTTCATCAGCTGCATGTTGTTGCAATATATATATACTGAAATATTCACTTTCATAAATGTTTTATTTTATTTTAAATAAACGCTTAAGCATACGTAAAAAAAATACATATTAACTGAATGTTTTCTCATATGAAGTGCATATTTCTTCAATAATATCCCAGATACACCATGTGAATTTGGATGAGTGAATGTCCAGGTTGTGTGTGTTTGCTAATATACGCGTTGTTTGTGCGCAGGGACCTGCAGTGCGACTCCCACCGAGGAGATGAACGGCGCCGGGAACCTGATGGACTTCCTGGACGAGCCGTTCCCAGACGTCGGCACTTATGAGGACTTTCACACCATCGACTGGCTGAGAGAGAAGTCCAGAGACACGGACAGACACCGCAAGGTAAAACACCCCGGTAGACGCTGATATTGTGACACACGGTCGGTTTCTATTTTTGTAGCAGGGGTTTTGAATGTTGGTAATTGCATCCCTTCTATGCCATAAATTAGGATGTTAAATATTGAATTTTAGCCTCCAAACTAAAAAATAAAATAAAAAATTGTTCCTGGAGCAATAACTGAACATGCATTTGAATCATCAGGTTGTGTGTGTGTTTCCAGATCACCAGTAAGAGTAAAGAGTCCATCTGGGAGTTGATCAAGAGTTTGCTGGACGCCTGGTCAGGATGGCTGGTGATGCTTCTGATTGGCCTGCTGTCAGGTGAAGAGACACGCCCACTTATGATGACATCACTGGCCAAAACACTTAACATTCTACACGTGTGTCTCATCTAACACAGGCACGCTGGCCGGAGTGATTGATCTGGCTGTGGACTGGATGACGGATCTGAAGGAAGGAGTGTGTTTGTCTGCGTTCTGGTACAGTCACGAGCAGTGTTGCTGGACGTCCAACGAGACAACCTTCGCCGACAGAGACAAATGTCCTCAGTGGCAGAAATGGGCTGAACTGATGACGGGATACACAGAGGTAGACCGAGGAATACGGCAAAACTCATTTTTAAGCAATTTTCTTTTTTGGTGCATTTATCCAAAGCCTGCATATGGCTTAGTGAAATGGTTAAATCACAAAGGTTGTGTTAATTTCCATCAAAATCAAGTTCCACTGTAATTATGATTATTATTATTATTAATAAAATAACATAATATTTAATTATATTATTTTTCTTAAATACTAGATTTTTTATTTTTACAGTTCACATATAAAAAATGAAAATGTTTAAAAAAATGTTAAAATATTTTTATTTGGTAAACAAACAAACTTTTATTTTTTTTAAATCACATTTTTAATCGCAATCTCAATTTTGATCTGAAAAATAAATCTTAAATATTAGATTTTTTTTATTTCACATTTCTTGTTTTGTTTAATATTTAGTAATATTTTTTTTGTTTGTAATTTTTAATATTTTTTTTTATTTTTTGTAGTATTTTTTTTAGTAATAAATTCTAATAATTATATATTTATTATTAATTATATCTTATTATGTTTATTATAAATAATAATTTAATTATATATATATATATATATATAATAAAATATAATATATTATATTTTATATATAAATATATTTATAATATATATATATTTAGAATTTAATTTTATTATTATTACTATTATTATACATTGACATTTAATCACAAATATTTTTTCAAATTATGTGGCACTTTTTATCAGATAAAATTATATTTTCCTCTTATATCGTGCAGCCGTAGGCTGTGTTCGAATCGCCCCCTATCCCCTTATTCACTATTCTCCACATTAGTCCATTAATATAGTTAACTTTTAGGAAGTAAATGTAATCGAGTGAGTGAATTCAGATACATTCGCCGTGTAACTATCACAGTGCATTATGGGTATTATTCTCTAGCCATTGAGTTGAACGGTTGTACGCTTTGTTATTGCAGTGCAATTGCTGTTTCCTCAAATAGTGCCTATCTATCAAAGGATATAGGGAGCAATGTCCCTAATATTCTCTTATATGTATATATATATTATTTATATATATGCTGGGCTGTATGTAAAGCACTTTGTCCAGCGTGTGTTGTTTTTAAATGTGATTGATTGATAT